ATCTTTTGTAATATCATTTAGTGACCACCATTGTTCTTTTTTTGGAGTCTTCGTACTTTGTCCATGCCCTCGAAAACTAAGGTAAAGAATCATTTTAATGAATTTAGGAATCTAATTATACCTTTGTTTCGTGACAAGTAATTTACCTCATAGCGCAGCAATCATATCCTTTATTTGAGAACCAGCGACAAAAATTATCCCAAGCCCTAGCTGCAACACCTACTCCATGAATGAATAAAATTGGTGGATAATTCTATGTTACAATTTATTATAATATCATTAATAATTAAAATCGATTATATAAAGAAATCTAGGACTAAATCTTTAATAATGCTTACCAATATGACATTAGCGGGAGGATTAATGCAAGACTTCAATTTTAATACTTTCGCATGAATCAACGAAAAAGGCATCCTTATCTGTATAATATTGTCTTGTAGTCATATTAAAAACGAATGAATGTTTTTATTTATATAAAATATTGTATAAATATGATTTTTTATTTGAAGAAGTAGAAATGAATTTCACTTTACAAATTTTATATAGCTTTTTTTGGATCGACCATTTGTTTCATTGACACAATCAAAAGGCCCATTGTTGGATGATTTACATTACTATAAACAGAAATTTTCCCGCCTTTTTTATTTTATTTTCTTTTTTTTTACAAAATAAGAAAGTCGATGTTTGAGTATTTCTGAAACCAATCAGAATAATTAATTTTTCGTTCGAATTAGAAAAAATAAATATTTCATTATATGTGCCAAAGTTTTCTATGTTTGCATAAGTTACACACTGAAATTTTTAAAAATTCAAACATACAGAATCGGTCGACCGACTTAAATTAATGCATAAATATTGTTTTTTTTTCTCAATGAACAATAATATTTATATCGATATTATTGATTTCTAAAATATCAACCATTTCATCCTGCAACAACAACTTTCAGTCCATTCATATATTTAGAAGGTCATGCTCAAGCCTAGTGCTCGGGTTATTTGACCTGACTCGAATTTTTTCTCGAGTAGGTACTATCATTTTTATGACACGAGTCCTAATTCAAAAAACTCTCCGGGTCAGGGTCACGTTTTTGCTTGACCCAAGTCGACCCGGGTCGACCTGGGTGACCCGGATGATTAAACAATATTGATGCGCTAGACTTTTTTTTTACGTTACGCGAGTTTAATTTGTAACAAATAGTACAACTTCTTCTAGAAAGCGAAAAGCATTGCGGAGTGAACAATTACAGGCAGGTAAAAAAAAAATTATCGATTAACTAAAACATTTTTTATAGAACGAGTTTTTTCTGGCGGAACCTATCTGATATCAACCAAAAGAA